GCCGGCTCTGCTGCCTCTTTCTGGGCGCCGGATCCCGCCTCGCAACCTGGGGCCGTCTTCTTCCTTCCCGCACCACCGGGCTACCTTGAGACTGTCCGAGAAGTTCATCCTGCTGCTGATTCTCAGTGCCTTCATCACCTTGTGTTTCGGGGCCTTCTTCTTCCTCCCGGACTCCTCGAAGCACAAGCGCTTCGACCTGGGCTTGGAAGACGTCTTGATCCCCCACGTGGACACCGCCGGCGAAGGAGGGAAGAATGCGGGCGCCTACTTGATCCACGGGCAAGGCCACGACCAGCACAGGCACCGGTAGGCCTGCTTTCCCCCCCTCCCTTTTCCCTCCCGCCCCCCACATGTGGGGGTGTCTGGTGCACCCTTCAGCCTTGGCCAAGAAGAGGAAGGTGCCTAAAGGCCTCTCGGAAGAAGCAGCCTGTGTTCCTGAGGCTCCATCTTGGGCCATGATCCTGGGCGCTCTGTAGAAAACCAGTGATTTGATTTCTGTAGAGATGGCACCATCTCCCCAACCAAAGTCTTGTCTTTTATATATATATCTTGGGCCATGATCCTGGGCGCTCTGTAGGAAACCAGTGATTTAATTTCTTTAGAGATGGCACCAGCTCCCCAACCAACGTCTTGTCTTTTTTTAAAAAATATCTGTGAAGATTCTCAGTCATCCAGGTGAGGTTATTTGGAAGTTGAGTTATGGCAATTGGGCTTCTTTCTATTAGGTTGAAACATTTTGCTACTCATTTGCTACCCTCCTCAGACCGAAGAAGATACAGTACTTGGATGAGTAGCGAAACATTTCAACCTAATAAGAAAGAGTTGCCATGACTCAACTTCCAGATCTTGCTTTTCCTCCTTCACTCCATCTTCCTTGTTGAAGGCAAGGTACTTATTGTTCTTCTGAGAACCAAGGGTAGGTTAGTTAGGTGACATTCTCTGCTGTAACACCCAAGGGAGAGAACAACTGCCTTTTTCTTTCTGGGAATCAAAGTAGTTTAAGAACTTCAGTAGTCCACTGCCTACCCTTATTAAAGTGTGCTGCTTTATTAGAGGTAGAGGTGAGAAATATGATGGGCTGAAACCTTTCCAGGTATCAGCTGTACCTGATTCCTTGAAATGAGAGTTGTGTGGATCACTCCATAGGAACTGGAAGAAAATAATACTTTTAAACTTCCTTACCATGAAAACCCTGGGAACATTACACAAGCATTTATAATGCCTTTCACATACATATGTATTGAAACCCAGGTACGAGCAGACTTACTATATTACTGAAAAGATATCAGACAAAAGTATGGAATATTGGGAGAGGTGATGCATAATCAAGTCAGTTAAACATAATTGGAAAAAAGGGTCACCATTTATTTCAAATCTCCCTGTCTTTACCCTTTAAGTGCAATTTGTCATAAAAACACACCCCACCAGCTGCAATTATAAAATTTGAAAAGCTTTGAAAGAAAACTTTATAAAACTTTAGTTCTATATGTTAAGCAGCAAAACTCACAGACTATTTATAAGTGAGTTTTTAACGATTTGATGTTGTTGTTTACTTGTATACTGCCCTATGGTGCTAAAGCACTCTCTGGGCAATTTACAACACAACTATTCAAACAACACTTTGCCACCCACCCACCCACCTGAATTCCTTGGACTGCCTCCAGTGGGGTGTGGAGGAAGTCAAACATTTGCCTTGCCCTCTCTCCTACATCTTTGGAAACTATAGTGGAAGGAGGAAGGTAATTGCTGAAAGTCACCACCATATGTGTGTGTGTTGTCAAGTCAATTCCAGCTTGTGGTAACCCTTTCCTGCATCTTCTAGGTACAGAATACTCAGAAGTGTTTTACCATTCCTTTCTTCTGGGAGTGCCCTGGGACGGTGCAACTTTCCCAAGGCCACACAGTCTGGCTGTTCTCTCTGGAGGCACAGTGGGGAATCAAACTCCCAACCAATACCTAAACCACTGGGCTATCCAGCCATCTAGTCACCACCATACTTCTTCACTTACCATTAGCCCTGGCTTGATGAAACAGCTTTCATTGGCAAATAGGTATCAGTTGGGCTGGATGTTCATAAGCTGAAAACTTCTGTGTAGAAGGGGAGTGTAGGAAAATGGTGTCTCCTGTCCTTTATGTAATGGTATATGTTGTAGTTTCCATTCTGTATCTTGCCTAGTTGTGTTTAACTGAACGAAGAAAAATCACATTGGGCCAGCTGAGTATAAAATATCTTTGTTTAACAAGTGTGTGAGACTTCTGTGTGTTTCTCTTTATGCCATGTATTTCTTAGATAAATTGGTCATATTTGTGACTGGGCTTGATAACTGACTTTATTTGAAGTGTGAAAGTCCAGTCAAACAGCGATAGGTTTATATAATATTGTTGTACTAATATAGTTATAGCTAGATACCCATTGTGTTGTGGTGGATAGAGTGATGTACTAGGACTCAGGATTGTGCGTTTGAATTCCTGCTCAGCCATAGAAACTCACTAAGGGGGATAGAACTGGTAAAACCACTTCTTAAATATCTCCCTTACCTTGAAATCCTGTTTAGGGTCACTATAAGTCAGTTCCGACTTGAGGCAGGTCACAACAATGAAGGTTGAACATGTAATAACCTTTAACCTGACTTTCATTTCTTAACTTTAACATCTTTTTCTCTTTCACATTTTTAGTTTTCTGTTTTCCTGTCATGGGAATATCTGTTTTTAACTCTTGAGATTTATTATTTTTCATATAACCACAAATTCATAGAGACATTGTGGAATTTGGCCAACAAGAAGCCTATTTTAATTTTATGTCTAATGAGACTTTATTACAAAAATGAAGTCAGAAATAACCAGTTTGTCAAGAAGGTGTGTGCCACCTTAAAGATTAAACTTTCTGTAGTACTCTTTTTCATAAATGAGAGTCTCACATGCAGATTTTCAAGTAGGCTCACTGAAACTTCGCATGAAGTCTGAAAAAGCTACACTGGTTTTTATTTTTTTTCAGTCTGAATTCACAAGAAAACCAGCTTTTAAGCATACAAGTTTCTTTTTGAAGGACACTCAGAATAGTAATTTGATTGGTCTTTTAACAGCCTCCATGAGTAATGACATGATACAATTTATCTAGATTGGTGGTTTCAAGCTACTTTTAGTTCTTTATTCTGAGCCTGGTAACCAGACTTTCCCAGTTTAAATATAATGGGAAATGTTGGTTGATTACCCTAGGAACTTCCAGTTGTAGGCTCTCTCTTTCAGAGGGGCGGGGGGAAGCTGCAGTATGAGAAGAGAGCACAAAGCCTACGCATTTTTCAGTTTAATAAACTAACATAGGTTTCAACTGGACTAGGCTATTAAGGATTACAGGAATTAATGGCTGTTCGTATTTAATATTACTGCGAAGTAACAATATTCTCTTGCGAGCACTAATGAATAAATGAAGAGGAGTGCAGAGTTGTGCTATTATTTAAAAAGAATTGCATGTTTTCTCCCTGTACCTGACTTGAATGAAAGTAGAATTGTTATCTTCAAACTTTGGACCTTTAGCATTTCTTCATATTAGTAAGGTTGAGTTAGAACGCCTTGGGCTAATCTTGGAGGAAACTGTATACAGCAGTGTAAACAGCAGTACATTGTGTACTAATTGATACTGTATTTTCAGGAGACATTGGTAAGAATATACAGTACTTGGTGGAAACAGAAGCTGTAGCTGTAGAACCATCTCAGTGGATTGAGAGTGATTGCTTCAGAATTATTCTGTTTACTCTTTCTGTCAGACTGTGCTCAGCCCTTTGCCCTCAAAAGTTTGCTGCTGCTCTCGCTTGTAGCAGCTCAGGGGTTGTTTTACTACTAAACAATGTTGTACCCTTCTAAAAGCAGAATCTAGCAGTAGCAAAACTTTGGGTCAGAAAGTGCAGGACATATATATAAGGTTGTGATTCTCACAATTTGAACTAAAGTGCATCAGTGGATTTCTGGTGTGCCTGTTGTGGTTACTTGGGATAGCACAACCCAAGGCACCAAGGACACTGATATTGTTAAATATTGTCCCGTTTCCCCCCCCCAAGCTGTTGAAATGCTCATCTGTTAAGTTAATTTTCTTGTCTTTGCTGAAACTTAAAAAAAAATCCAAAACAATGCTGAGTTTTGTTTCATACAGTGGGGTCTTGACTTGAGAACTTAATCCGTATTGGAAGGCGGTTCTCAAGTCAAAAAGTCTGTAAGTCAAGTCTCCATTGACCTACAGTGCATTGAAAACCGATTAATCCCGTAACAGGCCGTTTTTGTTCCATTTTGGTTTTTTTCTGGTCTGTAAGTCAAATCTCAGTCTGCAAGTCAAACCTAAATTTTGCGGCCAGAGAAGTCTGTAACTCAAAAAGTCTGTAAGTCAAGCCATCTGTAAGTCAAGGGTCCACTGTATTTAAAACAGCCAGCAATAGACACTTAATATACCAAGTAATTATATTTTCTTTTAAAGGGCACTTGTTTTGTTACTTTCTAATAGGGTTGAATAGTGTTAATGCCTGTGGCATCAGCAGGAAGCTGAGGGTCATCATGCCAAGTTTCTGATGAGTTTTAAATCCCTTTTAAATCAGGTTTATCAGGAGAATTTTAGGCTGGAATCCTAACTATGTGTACTTAGAAATAAGCCCCAAGGAATGCAGTGGGACTTACTTCTGATTAATTATGCATTGGGATTGTACTATTCTCTTTACTGTCAGTGTCAATTTTGCAGTCACAGATGTGGGTTTTCCTTTTTTTGAGATTGTACCGTGCACCCTGTTTGTGCCAGCACATGTTGTGTAACTGCTCACTGCTGTAACATGAAATCCCTAAATTCCTAGTGTTGAAGTACAAAGTTCGTTATAGCTGCAGCTTTCTGAAGTAAATGAAAAGCTTTGTTAGACTGCCTGTATTTCCTTACACTCATTTTTTTTAGAAAGAGAGCCACTTGCATTTGTCTTTTCTCTTTTAGTACCTTAACATGATTGCTTCTGAGTTTCTCTGCACAATTCAGCATCTTTTCTCCGGCCATTTCATCCTTACATTCCAAACCAGGTGTCTCCATTATTTATTTTATGTATTTGTTCCTGTGATGCCCTTAGGATTGGCAGTCCCTTAGGAACAAGTTGTTCTTTCTGAACTTTAGCAAGCTTCTGATCAACCCTAGAGTCTCTCAGTTCCTCCCCCCTTTTTTGCTTTCCTTTTACTAATATATTATTGATTATGAGATAGAATGGTTTCCCCAGGTGTGCAAAAGAGGAAGTAGTACTCATGGCTCCTAGATGGCCATGCAAAATTTGTGGTTATCATTGACC